TAGAACTGGCATCCTTCACGAAAGGCGCATCTGTAATCAACTGTCGAAGAGCTCGATGTCCACCTTCCTTCACCCCTTGGGCAACCTCTGTCGACGTGCCCGGAACAAACTGAGAAGTAAGTGGAATGGGTGAAAAATCATCGGACGTCGAATAATACTCGTCACGACGTCCGTTCACCGCATGAGATGAAAATGCTCCGGAAGGATACTCCACTGAAAACAAGCTATTAAACGTTTGTTAATTTCAGTTATAAAAGAAAATTGAACTCATCCTACAAATGGGTAAGATAGAGTCATTGCCTTATAAAGGGTGAGACAATTTGGCCACATTGTGCATTTATAAGATAGGGTATATCGACAATATATCCCTGCCTTATAAAGCACAATGCAGCGTTAAAACACCCCCTTTATTTTGAGATATGGTTTTGACCAAGCAAAACCTATCTTTAAAGCGTCGATCCTCACCAAGGAGAATCAAGGCTCTTCCCGATTGCCTCACCAAGGAGAACAACGTGGGAAAAAAGGACTAATTTGCAAATTTCTAGAAAAAAAGTGGACTAATTTGTAAATTCCCAAATATACCAAAAATAGCTCACCAGCATACGAGGGAAGCACGCCATCAGCCGGTGCAGCAGGGGAGCGACCTCTCGGGACACGCGACATAATGATCTGCAAAATAAGTTAGGGGATCAGATCCAAAAAAAATTCCCCTTTTTATTGCAATTCTACCCCCCTGAAAGACGAGCTCGAGGCACCAAATCATAATCCTAACCCTCACATGCAATCCCACAAGTTCATAAATTGAATTAAGCATGAAATATACTAAAATTGTGGAGGATTTACCTGAGGAAAAGCTCGTGGATCCAATAAAAAATCAGATCTTGAAAGAGGCTTGAACCACGTGCTCGAGGGGCCTGAGAGAAATTTTTATATGAAGATTTCTGAGGGATTTCTCAGTCTAAGATCCAAAGGAAGACTAGATCTAAGACAATTGTGAAGATTTGAGGGAGAAAGGATGCTCGAGGGAAAAGAAAATCCAAAAAGAAGGACAAGGGGGGCCGGCCCTAGAGAGGAGGAAAAAGGGGGCTTTTATAGGTGAACCAGCCTTGAACCAGACCGGACCAGGTTGAACCAAACCAGACCAGTACAAATCAGTTCAAAAGAGGCTGAACCAGGCCAAACCAGGCTGAACCAGGCCAAACCAGACTGAACCAAACCAGACCAGGATGAACCAGTCTGAACCAGTCTTAAACCAGTCCTGAACCAGCCTTGAACCAGGTTGAACCAGTCTTGTACCAGTTTAAACCAGATTTGAATTAGAATTCAAATTGAGGCTGAACCGAGCATCGAAACAATTTCAAATCGACCGAGGTTCAGTCCTTTGTTTGTTCTTTCCTCTCCCACACATTCGGAAGGGTCGGAAGATTTTTTGAGCCTAATTACTGCCTTGTTTGGGTCATTATTAGGCCGGTTTGGTTCATTCAGACATGAAAAATACTCCAATAAGGATAACTCAACAACACTACGCCAAGACAACGCGTCGCATATATGGACTCAGCGCCAACTATCGATGGCCAGTTCTATGTTGAACCAACAAGCACGAGCTAAAGATCAGAAAATTAGGAATCGACTTCAAGTTCAGAATTCTGACAACGGTCAGACAATAAATGCAGCACCAGGACCCTTACAGACATTCGACAAAGCACCAAATAACCTGAAGGATTGAAGGAATCAAGAACAGAAGCCATTCTAAGGTCCCGTTATACCAACTGAAGGTTGGGACAATCATATCCAAAGTATTCCAGACTCTTCTATAAAAGAACGAGACTGAAATATTTTGGAGGGGGTATCTGTAGGCGTATAAAACTGCTTATAGGTCCCTTAGCACAGCTCGACACAAACCGACGAACCATCGGGTGACGTATCTAAATACGAACATTAGTCCACAACACCGAAGCCAAGTGACACAGAACGAAGTAGATTAATAAGGCGACGAGGTTAACGAATCGTACGCAAGCAACGAAATGCATCCATTCGCGTGCGGAATCAAGCTAACGGCTCGGTGAGTCAACGAGTCATCCAACTACGGAACAGATTTGAACTCAATCACCGAAACGGATTTACTGCCATATCGGGATCCGGACTGCCAAATCAGGATTCAGATCAACGGCGAAGATCGGATGAACCGATAAACCGCGGAACCGGACAACGGACACAACGGCGCCACACCCGGGCGACTCGGCCAAAGCCGAACCACCCAGGTGGCTCGGCCAAAGATCTCAAAACTTAAAAAGATTGAAGCTTTGGAACTTTGAGGACTTGGAGATATCAGATCTGGTTCTTGGCGATCATCCACGCCAAATAAGGTAGGAGTTCGAGAGAGATCAGATCTGAGATCTACGCAGTTTCCCTCCGGATCAAAGCTTGTCCTTTGATCCCGAGAACTAAAGGCTATTATTTCCTTGGCGAAATAGTACCATCGGCTGTTATTTCCTTTGTGAAATAATACCCGTCATACTGCGTAGATCCGACCAGATCTAGATCGCGCGGTGGTCCACGGATAAACCCCGGCGCAGGCGAAGAACCCACCAAAACGAGTGACCGCAAAACAGGAGCTCGTGATTTGTTCGAGAAAGGAAAGTTGTAATCTTTTTATTTTTTCTTTGACTTTGTTGTAACCGGATCTTATAAAAAGACCGGATCTTTGTGTAATCGAAAAACAGTTGCCAAAGAGCACAATGAATTCATCAATGAAGAAAGCTACGATTTTTCCCACGAACAATAGTGGTTAAGTATGAGAGCTATATGTTATCTCTAACTAAAATTGGTCAAGTATCATGTGTATACCTTAACGTTTACTATAAATGGTTAAGTTTCAGAGCTATATGTTAACTCTTACTGATAGTAGTCAAGTTTTAGAGCTACATGTTAACTATTACTGATAGTGGTTAAGTTTCAGAGCTACGGGCTAACTTTTATTGAAAGTGGTTAAGTTTCAGTGCTATATGTTAACTTTCATACTTATATGACATACAATGAAAGTTTTATTCTTATCTCATCAGTGACATATTCTATCATCCCTTATAGCCCTGTTATGTATTGCATTTCAAACATTTTAGCAGCAAAGATTCCGTTGTCAACCAGTTACACAACTAGTTAAATACATCTCCTCGTCCAACCTACCCACCAGTTAAATAAAAAATGGAATACCACATGATATCTTAACTAGGAACTAGTTACACAACCTTTCTCTAGTTATACATCTAAATTAATATGCTTGTTAGTTTTCCTCCCACAGCAATCTGTTCAATACACTGATTTTTCGGACATCATTCACCCATCCTTTTCTAGCCCATCCACGTAATTTTTCTGTTCCCATCCTTCAATTAGGAGTTCAGCTACAAGCCTAGCACGGATGACGTCAGACTCGTCAGCGGGATTAGTTACCTGACTGGTATCAGTCTTTTGTATTATAGCCATTATATATAAAGGAACGAAAAGCCTACAATTAAACCTACATCATATATATTGGAAAGATATTTGATGCTGAATAAAATGAAAATGTTTAAATGTGTGAAACACTAACATTCCAGTCTGTTGCTCGCAAGGAACGGCTTCATATCGGAACTTCTTCCAAACATTATTGGGATCAAAATCAGCCTTCATGTGATTCATGAAACCAATTACTTTATTTACTGGCTCCAGGTATGCACTGTGGCCTGCAGAGCTGTAATGCTTGTTCACATCCTCGTCCAACCTTACTTCAGCAACATGCCAGTGGTCATGCCGCACAAGCGGGATAAGGAGTACTGATTTCATTGCGGCAACATGCTTTTGTATGAATGAGGTGTATAAATGTGGGAAATCTGGGTTCACTGCATAAAGGCTATGCTGTATTGCCAAGCAAATAATGATAAGCCATTTGTAAACAGGAGTTAAAAAACATTGGGAGTTTGAAGCTAATGCTTACGCAGAAAAATATTGATACAACCCCATATTTCATGCCAACAGAACCAATTTCTGGCCTCTCTAGCCATGTGCTGAACCTATCTACAAGAGCCTCCATGACCTGTTAACATACGTTGGAGAAGATGCAAATTAGATTGCATAACATCTCAACTCGTAGTAAATCCAAGTATTGCGTAAAAGATTAACATATTGAACTTGCATAGTCATCGATACGCCCGCCACGTAGAAGATAAAGAAGCTCTGTTGAATCAATGCTACTGTTCAACGTCTTAACAATAATACGTGACCTGAAACATAATAATAAGATCCAAATGGTAACATAAACCAGGCTATAGGAAACTAGATTTGCAAATATAAACATGATTTGGTAAACGTTGGCTCAAATAGGTATAAGTTAACATAAACCTATAATCATTAACATGTAATAATGAAAACTAACATGTTGTAGCCACAGTTAATCAGAATGTCTAAACTTACTGATGGGTTGTTTGATTGCAGAACTGAGAGAGCCATCTGTTCTCGTCTGGTGTGAGCTTTGCTGCATCATGCTGAGGCACTCTAAAGTTGTGCACAAAGGTTCCTTCACTATCAATCACACGTATGCTAAAATCATCAAGGTTGGGAATACCTTCGTTTAGCAACTTCAATAGAGCCTCCTCCTTCTTCTTGATTTTCCTCTTCCCAAGAAAATCCTAAGTGAATTCCTCAGGCTTACAATAGAACCTGATTTTCGCCCTCTCTTCATCCTTGTGGTGTGATATGTTAATTATATCTGGACGACCGTCCTTCTTCTTTCCTTCAGTGAAAGGGGTTCAGACTAGATGTGAGCGAGTCCTCTTTCTGATACTTGGTCCCCTAATTCCCCTTGACACTACTTTCTTCTCTCTCTTCCCGATAAACTTGCACCTGATCTTTATCCTCCATCTTCTCTCCATCCTTCTTCTCACAAGCTATCTCTTCCTCTATGTACTCCTCTCTGGCCTCAACTTTTTCGGCATCTTCCTTCTCTACTATTTTCTCTTCAACCTCCTCTACCCCTTCCTTCTCTCCCTCTTTCTTCTCCTCCTCTCTCTCTCTTCATCTATCTTATCCTCCTCACTATCTACAGCTTTCCCCACATTCTCAACCTCCATCTCTTCCCATTCCTCCTTCGCTGCCTCCTTCTCTTCCTCTTTCATCTCCATCTCTTGCTCTTCCTCTTTCTTCTCATCCTCTCTCTCTTGCTCTTTCTTATCCTCCTCGCTATGCACGGATTTCTCCATATTCGCAACCTCTATTTCTTGCCATTCACCTTTCTCTGCTTCCTTCTCTGTTTGCGCAACAGCCTCGGCAATATGAGAAGCTTCTTTGCCAATGTTCGTTACATCGTCATAATCAAAACAAATTCCATCATCACCCATATCACCCCTATCATTAGAATTAAAACTCTTTCTTATTTTTCTCTGTGCATACCCTTTATGCCTATCATTTTGTGACATAATCCCCTTCACATTCTTCTTTAGGTCTTCGGGGTCAATTAAGTCTGCGGTCCCTTCATAGCGCTCCAATTTCTTGTTCAACCTATGTATCTCCTGGGAGCAAGCATCCCATTGAAGGTGCTTGCTACGCTTGACAACGTGGAGCGATTTCTAATTTATTTTGGCTGTATTCCTCCAAAAATGAATTTGCTCTACAGGTGTCAACTTATCTATTACATCTTCTCTTGAAAAAGCATATGCGATATGCTGGGACAAAATCTGAAAAGTAAACCATATACCCTTTACCCATGTAAATCCACAAGATTAAGCAGAATAGTTATGAAAACCCACAAAAGAAAGTTAACATGGAACAATGCAAATTGAAAATAAATTAATGATAATGATAAAATATTTAACTCAATGTAAATATGTTGTGATGTGTAAAGAGTCATTGCTGCTTACGTAACCTACAGATGAGCTCTTTGGTCTGCCCTTCACCTTCCCTTGCTTCCCATCCTTCTGCTTTTCTTTCTCGTTCATCTTTCTCGGCCTACACTAGTGGAAAATGAAGTATCACTAACGGCAACATCGCTGACGGGTAATAGCCGTCAGCGATTATTGTATCTCTGACGGAATATGCTGTCAGAAACATTGCCGTCAGCGATGTTTTTATCCCGTCAGGGATAAAACATCGCTGACGGCAAGTGAACATCGTTGACGGGTAACCCATCAGTGATGTTCGATATATATATGTTTTTTATCGCTGCCTAACTGCAGTGTCTTCTCAACCTTTGCCCGCTGCCGCCTCCACCGCCCCGTCCAGCGCCGCCGTGACCACTCAAGGTACAACTACAGAAATTAGTTTCTCAAATCAATAAGGTTTTTGATATTAGTTCCTAAATCCATAAGGTATTTGAAATTAGTTCCTCAAATCATTGAAATTACTGTTAAATCTATCAATTCTTAGTTAGTTTGCTATAACCCATTTCATCCGATCGAAGTTTTCCTACCAACTAAATTAACCTTAACTAATACAGAACTAGTAGTTATTTAAGATAGAAATCATGGTCAAATAAAGTATTAAAGTAGTTGAGCAAACATCATGATCGACCTTAAGCAAAAAGAATTAAGTTAAAGGTAGTATTTTATTGTTCGTGGAAATTAATACTATATTCGAAATTTCAGGATATCAAGGCTAATATTATTTCTACCAATAGAACAGAAACTTAAGCTAACTCCTTTTTTTATATAAAGGATGAACCCTCAATTAGTCATATTGTTAGGATTTTATTGTAGGACGTAACCATGCCATTATTTAGATCAAGTTGAATTAATATAGAATAGAAGAGTTGTTATATGTCTTTTCTTGTGAAATCTTTGCTTATAAATAAAGATATATAGGCGTAGGGCAAAGTTTGAAACTGACTTTATTTAGTGTTTAACCAAAATTGGTTCACATTACAATAACCTGCATGATTTGGCGAACCTATCAGCAATTTCAATGATTCGAGAGACTAATTTTGGAATAAAAACGCTTCATTTGTATTTATGGAATAAAAATGCTTTATTTGTATTTATGTTCATTAGTATGGATCCGCCAGTGGCAACGCGGACGATGACATGGATAGGGCGGATGACCTATCTTAGTGAGTTATATCCTAAACTCGTGTTTGTATATTGTGGACATCTTTATAGTTGAGATTATGATACTCGTGTTTGTATATTGTGGATTTAGAACTTATGATATGTGTGTATTGTTTGTTGTGAAAATTATTATTGTGGATTTGGAACTTATCGTAAAAAGTGAATGTATATATTTCGATTGTTTGTGAAAATTGATTGGATGAGAGGTTTAATTGTGAAAATTTGGATTGTATTCATTGCGAGATGTTTTGGAATGCGTGTGAAATGTCGTTTGGAGATTTGTATGTACAGGGAATATATATATGTACAGGGAACTGAGTATATATCAGCAGAATTTTTTTTAGCTGCTGATACTTATCGCTGACGGGCTTCCCGTCAGCGATAGGTATCGCTGACGGGAAAGCCCGTTCAGCGAATGTAAATAACATGGCTGACGAGATCCCGTCAGCGATACTTATCGCTGATGGTACCCGTCAGCGATCTTTACAACATCGCTGACGGACCCGTTAGTGATGTTTACAACATCGCTGACGGGCTTCCCGTCAGCGATGTTATAAACATCGCTGACGGGTCCCCGTCAGTGATAAGTATCGTTGACGGGGATCCCGTCAGCATCCGTGTGTTCACCAACGACGATCTGTCGTCAGTTACATATGTCACTGACGGGATCCCCGTCAGCGATAGAGAAACATCGCTGACGGGAATCCCGTCAGCGATGTTTCATTATTACTGACGGACTTTGCCGTCACCACTTATGCCGTCAGTAATACATATTACTGACGGCCCCCCGTCAGCGATATTTCTTCCCTGGGCATATTCTTGACGGGACGCCGTCAACGATATGCATTTCCGACGGGAATTTGGGCATCGCTGACGGGAATGCCCGTCAGCGATACATGATTTTCCACTAGTGCTAGTTTGCTTCATAGCTTTACTCCTTTTCTTCTCTTGCTTCGCGGACGTTGGGCTTCTATTTTTTCCAAAGCGAGTGAATTCAATCTTCTTCGTGCTGGGCTCCCTTTGAGGGTATTTTTTACCCCATCCAATCCTGTGTGAAATTGGTTTCTCCTCAAGTTTTATGCTTGCTTTCTTGGCCTTAGAGACGATTGTCTCCATCCTCAGCGATCCATCCGTCCCTCCGATCCTTACCCAGTTGGTCATCGGAGGCTTCCACCTCAATTTTAGGACTGGTTTTTTAATGCCAGTCATCTCAAAGTACCAAAGCTGTCAGAATCGAAGGATCAAATGTCAAAATAGTTAACTTGCATAACTCTTTCTTGAACTACATACTAAATAGCTAGCCTTCACTTCACTAACCTATGTTAACATTAATGGGTACATGTTACCTTTCACTTATTAATGATAACTTTAATTTTTATATGTTAAAATTCATGTTAACATGTTAACTTTCACCTATTAATGTTAACTTTTACTTTTATATGTCAAACTTCATGTTAACATGTTGATTTTATCCATAACCTGTTAACGTTCAATGTTGTACATGTTTTCTAATGTCTGTTACCATGACTCCTATTAACTAGATCAAATGTCAAGCCAGATGATCATGCAACTTATAGGGATGAGTGGCATGCATCCAGGTACGTATGTAACCCCTAGCTTCCTCATCCCTTGAACAGCAATTTGAATGCCTCTCTTCGTCTCATCAAAAATAAATTTACTCCACGCAATGGCCTTCACTCTCTCAATACTATCTACATATTGAAACAATTGTCTTGGGATGCCTTGAGAGCTGTTGGGGTACCAAATCGTTGCACATTGGTACAAGATCTGAAGCAGCACAAAATCCTCAATGTCCTTATTATCAGAAGACTCAATAAGTGTTTCCAGTAACTCCTCGACATATCTCCTCATGCTACCAGCTTCTGGTGTAGCCTTGACCTTTGCCTTTGCCTTTGGCTAGGCCTTTAGCATTTCTTTATTATCTTCAAAGTATTGCCTCCAAAGCCGGTTGTGAGGGTCTCTATTCCCGTAGATCAGCTCCCCATCAATGGGGAAGCCTGTGTGAGTTTGCACCCACTCTTCATCAAATTTCACTGAAAATATAGAACTGCTCTTGGGGTCGGGAAAAGAGAACTCATCAGTTTCGCCAGTATAATGGCTGAGCGCATACTCTAGTGCCCGTCGATCGCGTGCTGGGGGACCAAAGAACACATAGTGCTCAAAGTTACTGCCCTTGTAGGCATCCCAATGCCACTTCTTCAGTTTTGGTTGCTGTTTTTGCATGAAGGAACAATATGTTCCAAGACAGGCACTGGGCCTTATATCACCTTCAGCAGCAACTTTCCTGGAAGAACAATTTACTCTTAACAAGTCGTTCAACTGTAAATTAGGTAACAATTAACAGTAAAGGCATTAAAATAGTCAAAATCACGTTTTATTAACATGAATAGCTAATAGTTGACACTTAAGAGTAAACGTTAACAACAAACACAGATTATTGACATGCATTGTTACTAGCTATCAACAATTGAGAATTGTTTACATGCATTTCTTCCAACCTGATAACACTTCATATTATTCAGATCTTTCTCCAAAATTAAGAAACTGCTTATACACTACAATAACCAGTCTCTCACCACCATTTCCTTCAAAGAAGGAACCCATAAACCATAATTAAAATCAACATTACTCATTTAAAATAATAAAATTCAAAAACCCTCAATTGATTGGGAACTTACTTCTTCTTTGAGATAGTCACATCCTCCGGTAAGCGTCTCCTCTTACGCTCTCGATTTTCCTGACTTTTCATGATCAATAGGGTTTCAATCGCCTCGTTACTCTCCTCATCATCAGAGGATGGCGGAACAGAACCGTCGGCGCGAGATATCAAGGCGGAGGCGGAGGGGGATAAGTTTGGGAGTTCCTCCTGCTCAAGTCGTGCCGACCGACGTCGGTGACGAACGTCCGCTTCCGTTTGAATCTGGTCTACTTCACTCTTGCGTCGCTTAGGGTTCTTAGCCATTTCTCTTATAATTTTTTTCGGCATTTTCCTTGTGGATTTCCTGGCCGCTAGAGTGAAACGAGGGTTTTCAAATTGGGCTCGCAAGCTGAGGGAGGTTCGAGTTTTGGGGATATTTGTGGGTCTGAAGAGAGAAGAGCGCGAGAGAGAGAAAGAGGGAGAGAAGATTTGGAGTGACAGTTACAAGGGCAATTTTGTCTTTAGAAACGAACTGTGCTCTCAGAGTTGTCTCGGAAATAAAAAAGGGGCTGAAACATTATAGAGTTTGGTATTATTGGGGGCTTGATCACACAAAAAAAATACAGGGGGCCTAGTCACAACCGGATCTTTTTTTTGAGGCCTTGAAACATTTTTCCCAAATTAAAATTACAAATTTTAAATTAAATCATAATTCTAAAATTAAGTTAATATTTTAATTTTCTAGCATTATTATTTCGTATTAACTATAATAAACAACTATGAGAATTTATGAATAATAATATGAATGAATTTTGATAAAAAAAAGAAGAAATTAATGCTATAAATTATGACTGTGCAATGTTAGTTCAAACCGAACAACTGCTCGAACTGCCCGATTTTTTACAGTTCGGTGTGGTTTTTGTTTTGAATCCGGTCGAATCAGCGTAGGCTTTTTAACATCGGTGTTCACCCGAGCCGACCGATAACAGTTAACATCACGCTACTTTATGCGCTCAGTAGCTTATACCACAACAATCTTAACGTCACCATTTTCAGTACACCCACGAGTACGAGATATGTTTGTCTCTTTACAACACTCCACGGGTCGCACAACTGAACCTATGTGACTTGCTATTGCCAAACCAAAGCAAGCTTGCTAGCTATCTCCACGAGAGAGTGAGAGAGAGGTTACACTTACTTTTAGGCTGCGTTTGGGAACTTTGATTTGGATTTGGGAAGTTGATTTAAAATCAATGGATTTTAAATTTAGGATTTGAAATCCATTATTTAAGAAATCTTTTGTTTGAATATCTTTATTAAATGAAAGGATTTGAAATCTTTGATTTCAAAATCTTGTGTTTGGCTACTTTATTATACATGAATTTGAATTTAAAATTGATGAAAATTTATTTTCTTAACTCATCTTGTTTACATCAAATGCAATGGAGATGTGTAAAAGGAACCAAAAAACACAAATTTAGGTAATTTTAGCGATGATAGCTACATTTGCTAAGTTTTCAAATTCATTGCCCACCATAACTTGCAAGAGTTTCAACAAAGCTACATTTGCTAAGTTTTCAAATTCATTGCCCACCATAACTTGCAAGAGTTTCAACAAAATAAAAATGAAGAAAACTCTACTTGCAAGAGTTTCAACAAAATAAAAATGAAGAAAACTCTACAAACATATCAAGTATCTTACAAAAAAAATTATCTAAATAATACATTATCATTGCATATTTCACAGATATCCAGGCTGGAAAACACTTGAGGCTTGTTTCATATTTCATACATTTTTAAAGTGAGAATAAGTTAATATCAGAGCAAATAAATAACAATTCCATTATCTTCTCAAATGCAGGTACAACTGACAATAACATAGTCAATTTGGTCTTTGATATACCAAGAGAAATGTTAATAAGAAAAAATACAAAGAGTTGCAAACTGAATAACATGTGAGAAGAAAAGTATCCTTGATGTAAAGAAATTACAACTGAGGATTCAGAAGTGCTTGTATGATAAACCCTATCCACAGCAACAAAAGAGTAATTCATATGTCATCACGATATGAGCCCAAAACCTACAAAGAAAATGAGCAGATCAATAATTTGAAATAGGTACAAATGAATTTTTTTTGTCTCACAAGCAGCTATCAGCTAATCCCACAGCCTCTTAACTACTCAATTGCAGTTCATTGTAGAAACAACAACCCAATAAAAGAGCAAAGCACAACTCAATTGTAGTTCATTGATATAATAAGTATCTTTCAATTTTTCCGTTAACATACTTGGACATCACTTTGATATACTCTCCACTAGTATCTTTCACAAAGACATCCAATAAAACTGAAAGCATTAACAAAGCAACCACAAAAGTAATTCATAGGTATCTTTTCTTGTCATTTCCTTCCTAATCTTATTGTAGTCTATTTAATTTGCTTCACTAGTGACAGACATCCAATAAAACTGAAAGCATCTATTGATGTAGTCTATTTAATTTGCCTCACTAGTGACAGACAAAGCACGTTTTGTATTCACTTCAAAACAAAACGAAGACGAATCCTACTTTTTTTTTTTGGCTTACCGACCTAATCGATGTGAAAATCCAAAGGTTTTGGAAGTGCAAGGGACGTGTATTTTGTGAGGACGGTACAACTCTAATTATCACCAAACCCCAGCAGCAACAGAAGTCAGAAACTGACTTAATCGTGTAAATCATGTGAGGACCATTGTGCATAAGCTACATAAGAGAGCTGCAGAATGTATTACTGTAGTAGTAGTAGCAACCATGGAGCAATCACCAAATATGAGAAAATCCTAGATAAGAGGACCAAATATTGTAGCAACCAGGAGTAAAGTAGGAGCAACAGAGCTTGCTTGCCTGTTGTTCTCCAACACAGTCAATATGAATAACAATTACTGACAGCAGTCATGCTTTGTTAATGCTTTCAGTTTGAAGTTTCATAATCTAATAATGTTCAGAGTACAACAAGATGAAAATTAACAGGAACCAGTTTCCATCATACAAAAAATTATCCTTCAGCATCCGGTAATAATCTCAATATAACCAAAAAGCATATAAACATTAAAACTGAATTTGATAATTTAACCTTTCTTTTAATAAAGTAAAGAGAGTCTGAAAAAGGAAAGAAACGGTCACCTAATAAGTTGGGAAACAACTCCCTCCATAATGCTATCCTGATCACAAGGCCTAAAGCTAGGAGACATATGACCAAAAGGCCCAATATATGGTCTGCTGAAATTTTGTATGTCCTCTGCGTGTCTATAGATGAATGGCCATAGTTTATGTTATAATAACGATAACCCAGAAAATTGCATTATACGTGCAAGCTGATTAGGGTAATAGGTCTGCCACAATATTTTTATGTTTTCAGTATTAAGGCATGGTTTGTGTAGGTCTCATTTCGCGGTTTTTTGGTTCTTGAGTTTTTTTGGAGGTTTTAATAGAGCGGGCATTTAGAAATGCATCATAATCAAATATACACTAAATAAAAAGAACATAATTCTCAATAAATTAAAAATTTTGTACCTTTGAGATGAGACAAGCACTCCTTACTTGAATTAGCTAAGAATCCATCAAAATCACCTTTGAGATGAGACAAGCACTCCTTACTTGAATTAGCTAAGAATCCATCAAAATCACCAAACCCTAATGCATTCATAAGAAATCATCAAAAAAGCTAAGAATCCATCAAAATCACCAAACCCTAATGCATTCATAAGAAATCATCAAAAAATTAGAAATATTTGGTTAAAAATATTGTGAAGAATAACATTGAGATGAAGAAAAGTAGTCCAACCTGAAAACTAGAAACTACTCCTTAAGAATAAAGAGAATAAAATCTCTTTTTTCATCATAAGGAAGTGACTTCAACAAATAAAACTTTTCCGGGTTGCTATCCATTATCTTCTCAAATGCATTGAACACTTGAATGCGACTTAAGTTGGGTATTTTTGAGACCACTTGATGAATCTCCTATCCGGTTGGTGGTTTTCTTACTACTTCCTTCTTTCTCTCATTAAAATACTCACTCACAGAAGCTGTCATCACTGCAAGTGAATCAATCATTTTATCCCCCTTCTTTTGTTTCATTGAGCTTATCTCACCACTAGTTGATGCTCTAGGAAGATGTTTCCTTTAAGAGCTTCCACCTTCATTTGTTTCGGATTGTGCCTCAGATTCCTCATGTTGCATTGCATTAGCAGCCTCTTCAAAGGTTTCTGCACCTTCACCATTGGCTCTATCTTTTGTACATGACACCATAATGTCATCCTAATTTTCAATCAAACGATTCTGGTAGCCTTTTGCATCTGGATTAGCCTACAATATAAGAACATTCACAAATATTTTTAGATATATGCAACAAACTAATAATTCAAATTAATAAGTATAAAGTGCGATATTACCGAAACATAGTCGCTCCATACTTTTTGCTCGCTAGCGGGTATAATCACCATTTTCTTCTCATCATCCCACCACGTCAAACCACTTTTATTTTTAATGTCATAGATAACATTATAATGTGTTTTCCAAATTTTGAGTCGATTCTTCACATTATCTTTGTTCAAGTTGCTATTAAATGATTTTAGTGCATCAACCGCAACTTGATACACTTGAGGCTGTACCATCGACTTTTAATCCTTGGTTCATTTGATTGTACAACACATTAGCTAAAGCGAGTCCATATCACGATTCCACACAACATATGATCTCGACTAAGATGCAATTTATTTCCCTTTCTTTGTCATCCTAATACATACCAAAGTGAATTACACAGAATTAGTAATCAAGCACAAAAGTTGATTAATAATGAACCTTCGACATTGTAGAATGAAGGCACGAGAAAAAGGTGATGGCTACAAGTGTAAATAGCTACTGCAAAGTCTGCAAGCAATGAACAAAACAATGTTACTCCAATATTCAAAGATCATAAAACTTATCAAAGACATAAAATTATTCATAACTGCTGACCAACTTTAGCATCAAATCTTATGGATGCTAGCCCCCTCTCAAAGTCGGTATTCATCCCACATTTGCATAGCTAAATCATCTCTAAAGTTATTCCATTCATTTGTAACTCTCATAGTGGTGATACGCTCCTCATCTACATTCTCAATTTCTAAAACAGGATCATCTTCTAATTCTCGATCCACATCATTCAACAAGTCGTCTTCATTCATCTCTTCACGTAAAAAATTATGAAGAATACAACATGCATTAATGATCATTCAACAAGTCGTCTTCATTCATCTCTTCACGTAAAAAATTATGAAGAATACAACATGCATTAATGATCATAATTTGAGTCTTAACACTATAAAAGCTAGTTGTCTGTAATATAGCCCATCACTTTTTTAGCAATCCGAATGCCCTCTCAATTGTGTTTCTAGCAGAGGAATGACGTTGGTTAAATAACTCCTTGTAATTTCTTGGACCATTTTCTCTCCAAGACTTTATATGATAGTGAGTCCCTCTATAAGGTGCGCCATTTGTATACCCAGCATCCACAAGAAAGTATTTATCTACAAAATCAAAATCTTCAGTCATAACAATGTAAAAACTAGGAAGCAATACATATATAATAATTAAAAAATTATATTCCAACTTGAGGGAAGTTTCAAGCCATTGGGTCGATGCAAAGCATCACGCAAAACACGAGAATCTGATGTTGAACCCTCCCAACCAGGTAGCACATATGAAAATCTCAAATTGGCATCACAAACACCTAGTACATTTGTACTGGTCTCTCCTTTTCTATTTCGATATCTACTTTGATCTTCCAAAGGAATAGTTAATTGGATATGAGTCCCATCAAGTGCCCCGATAGCATCCTAAAATTGCACAACCTTACAATTAGTTCTATTAAACAAAAGTATTAAACATGAAAACCTTAATAAAAGAAGCCATAGTTACCTCAAACCATTTCCACTTCTCCATGTCTCTCTCATTAGGATTTGTATATTCTTGTCTAATATAGAGACTTCCTATCTTCATGACTGCTTGAAGTACTTTGTGGAACTGCCGACTAATTGTTTCATTTGAATGATAAAAATCTGTTTTGCTTGTCCTATTTTTTACATTATGAGCTAAAATATGCAAAAACATAGCGACAATTTCTTCAATCGTGACATTTCTTGATGCTACTAATCCCCCTCTAGTACATAGAACATCACATAACCTCTTAAACACTTGAGGATTCATCCTTAGTTGTTCAACACAATTATTTGCATTGCAAATAAGAGTTCGAATCCAAGACTTTCTAAGGTATGTCCTTTCATCCTCTTCTTCGTTTGTTCTTGAACTCTCCTTCAACATGTGCTTTGTATAGTACCAAACACCAATGGTAGCAACTATAAAACTGACCGCTACCATAATAATTTCCTCATCTTCTCTCCTCTCAAATTCTTCCATTGTACGTTTATGTTGGATCATTGAATCCCTTCCATCATTTATCATTTTTAACCTATCACATTAAAAGTTGAACATGCAAGCAGATTACACATATATTATGAATATATATTTAGTAGGATGCAAATTTAATGAAGCCCTAAGAAAAAACAACTCAAGACATAGAAATAACACCCTACTTTAAAATAACATCCATAAGATTGCATGACAATAAAAAATTACATATGTTAGAAGCAAAACCTTTCTTATGCTAGAAGGCAAATTGATGTGAATCTACCTACATCATTACCTGATGAGCTGAAGATTAAAGCAAAGAATTGTCAATTGCTGGTTTCATTTGAGGAGAAAAGAGCCTGTCTTCTTGTACTTGAACCAAAAACAGGGAGATTATCTTATTTTATACAAGCAATAGTTCTTATGTGGTGGCATTTCTACCATAGTGCACAATAATTACTACCTTGTGAGATCTCACACATTGAAATAAATGAATGACTGCGATCAGTTGTGAACCCTCGGGTGTGGAGTGAAGAAGATGATATTCCGTAAGCGCTAACTAAAACAAATGATATACTGCTCATGATCAGCAATATCCTTCCAAGGAGACACAATTGCACAAAAGAAATAATGCTGGGGCCAGATAAAGATGCATTTATCAACCAGAGGTCTAAATACATATGACTATTGGATATGGATGGCCACATTGTCCAACAACAGCAGATATCCAAATTTTTGGTAGAAAACCCCTACTACTATACTACATGTAGGTATATCAACCATTAACCGCCTTACCAGTAATTAGAATCACACTATTCACCATCATAAATGCTGTAGTTTAGCATTAATATAAAGTGATCATTCCTAAACTCAAAAACGCAACATGTACTACACAAACTACAAAGTTTGTATGTTGGTTACAAACAATTTCATCAACGACACGTTCACACAAAAAAAAGTCTCTTTCTGTAAGTAGGAAAGCCTAAGACAGCGATGCATCATACAAACATCAATCTGAGCCTTCTCAGTACAATGGCAAGATCGCTGACATGATGAAGAAAGAACAATACTAAGTGAAGCTTAAGAAAACTTGCACATCTTGCAAAACAAGCAAATTGTAATCAACTACAATGTTTACAAAAAACAGGCATTCAGTAAACCAAATGGCAAACTGCAAAGGACATGTCAATGCTGGTAGGAAGTTAAGGAATTTAAACACATGGCGTATGAGTAGCCAACTATCACTTTTAAAAATTCCAGTAGCAAAAAAAAAGGACAACGACAACAACAACAATATGATCAGGTTTATGTCTTCAGACTCGTGTAGAACCTACAATAAATGAATGATACTTCTCCATTCAAATTTGAGACTGACTTTTAATTATAGATACTTCTTCATAAAGGTGATATTTCCTTTATCATTTAATTATAGTAGTATATATAGATAGGTGAAAAGTCCCACCAACCAATCTCTAACTAATACCCTATAAATCACCAAAGTAACCCAAGTGAAACTAAATATCTACAACAAGAAAATAATCACAAATTAAAGAATCTTAATACGAAGGACAATGATATAGTTCGCCTAGGATCAAATTATCGTATAGTTTACATACAAATCGAACATAACTGTAATTTAAAAGGTCTAATTTGGGCTACTATGATGAATCAGATGAAAGAATCACAATTGTAACTTTGAAAGTATATTACCATAATCACAAGCCGAGAAGATCGAAAAAAGCACTTACGTGTTTCACTTTTCCTGACGTTGGTGGCCGGAAAAGTTATCACTGTTAGAAGAGAATAATTTCACCTATAACCATGTTCACATAATCCATTAATTAATGAACATATAAGCAAATATCACCTACGACATGTGAAGTAGAAAAACAACCCCACATTTAGATTGATGCTCACCTTTAAAAGCTAAAACCAACCAAATATTACACCGATGTTGAAGAAGAAAAGGGTTTTGGGGCTAAATAGCTGCAACAATTCAATCAAACAAAATTATTATTAACACTATATAAACCCTAGATCAGATCTAGGGTTTCAACTGTAGGGGGAGAGGCAGGGGGACTTGTTAAATGATCGGGTCGGGATTTGATAAATGACAAAGTGTGGGCTGGAATTTAAAATCAGTGGTTTTGGACTTTCAAATTCATCTTTGTTAAATCAATTGATTTAAAATCTAGGCCCAAATTAGAATCCAAACTAGATATTTGGAATTGAAATACCCTGGATTTTAAATCCAGGCCCAAATCCAAATTCCCAAACACACCCTTACTATTTTTATTTCAAAAGCGCAGTCAACCTTTCTCCTGTGGCCTGCCACCAAATAAAAGGCGCATAAAAATCTAATTCATCTCTCTTTGTTGTTTTTCTCCTATCTCTAGTTACCGTCATTTTTATGTTTTCTTCTTGTATTTGGTCTAATTTTTATGTTTTCTTCTTCAATTTGATCTGATAGTGGGTTTCTCAGTCTATCCGATTGAGACTTTTGTTCCCATTTATTGCTGCGTGGTAGGAGCCGAAACAACCAACCGAACCGAAACAAATCGGTTTGCTTTAGTTCGGTTCATTTTGTAATCCGGTTTGATTCGATCTCAGAAAATAAATCAAAATAGACCAAGCCTACCATTTGCTTTCCCCTACTATAATTTCAGAAGTTGAGTAAATTATAAAATTTATATCTTTAAATACTAAAAATGAGATAAATCTCCACTAGAATCAAGCAATCAAAGCCTAAGCATTAATGGGGTTGAGTTATTAATGGATTCATAAGAGTGAAAGAATGATAAAGGAGAATAAAGGAAAGAGAGGGGGAACTAATGATGTGTTTGGGGAAGGAAAGGATGGGAAAGGAAGATAACTCGTCAATTTTTCCTTCCTCTCCTTTACCCTCAATTTGGTGTGTAAGATTTTAGTGTAAAATTTTCCCTCATTTCCCTTCTTTACCCTCCCAATAAAACTCCCAAAAAAAATTCTTTTCCCCTTCTCCACTATCCTCCATCCAAACACAACATAAATGTGAAGAGAGAGTGAGAGAGTGAGAGAGAGAGAGAGAGAGTAAATTCAGATTTTTGTAAAATTTTAAGGGAGCCCCACATACTTATGTATTGTATTTAGAAACTTGGATTTAGAGATAAATACATAAAAATGATTAGATTTAATGGTATAAAAAAGTAATTATGTTTAAAGATAAACTAAGGTAAACAAACCCTCAATTATATTGGTCGGCAGAATTTTTTTAAATTTATAAATCGTTCTAGTTCAATATCAATCAAGATTTTTGTCAATAAAAAAAATCCAAGTAAATTTGAAACTACTACTACCATAGAGGCAGCTTTGTAGGCGCTTTTTTTAAATATTTGAAAATTTAAAGGGAACTAGTGTATATTTATAGTTACTTGAGAAATAAATAAAATTTTGAAATAAACCCATTCACAAATTCAATCCCAAATTTCGTACCTATCCGAAGTTTATTACAAGAATGGACCCACTTTCTGGTCACATCAGCTTCGTGGCTAGTAAGTGGTTCATTTTAAAAAAAAAATCATGGTCTTAATTAGTCGGGCTTGCCAACCCCGACTAATTAGGATATCTCCTGCCCCTCATTCGTGGTTAGACCACTAAATAAGTTGGGATTTACAACCCTGACTAAGTTTGTCATTGCACAAAATAGTTAAGGTTGGAAACCCCGACCATTTTGAAGCGCCAAGTCTAAATGGTTGGGGTTCACAGACCATTTAGTAGAGAGTCGCAGCAACTCATGAAATAATCGGGTTGCCAAACAGAACTATTTAGCAGAGACTCCCCAACCCGAAAATCAGGAAGGGGTTAATTCATGACATAGTCAGGGATGCCAACCCTGACTATTTGTGATGGGGCTTGTCCCCCTTATATATACGGACCAGACCCTTCCTCCCCCAAAATCCCAATTTTTCTCCCTCTTCAAATCCGATCTCAATATCTCAAGCCGCCTACCCGCTTCTCCTAACCCTATTTTGTGGCCGAAATTCATCGTGAAAGTTTACTCAAGATATCTAGAGTAATTTCTCTTCACTCTCTCCTCTTTTAACATGTAAAAATCTACGGTTTGCTATCAAAAATCTTATTTCTAGGTTTTAAAATTTATTATCAATCACTATCTTTGTGGTGGTTCGAATGATTTGTGTGTTGATTGTTATAATTGAAATTAAACTTCTAGGGCATAGAATGCTCATTTCTAGGGTTTAGGATTTTTATTTTGGGGTTTAGGATTTTTGATCAAAATTATATAAGATTATTTGTATCTTTGCTTTTCCTCTCTTATTCAATGCCTTGATAAACTTTTTTTTTTTTTTTTGTATTTAAATGATATAATATTCTTTTGCATAGGTTGAACAATATAATTTTTATTACTTGCTCTTATGGTGGAAAAATTAATTATGAAATGAATAATATGTCCATGTACGTAGGAGGGATAACGACGTCATTAATGATCTCGGGATCATATAGTTATTATGACTTGATTAAGGAATTACACCAAGTTACGGAAATTGACCCACGAGAGTACTGACTAAAAATAATATGCAATTGGCCCATAACTTTTGATAGAGCGTCTGCAGTTGAGATCTCAAACGATCATCATATGAGTATTATGTTTAATTTGAGCAAGTCGCAACCGACGGTAGAATTGTTTATTGAAAAGTTGCTATATAGTTCATGCCAAATATTCAAACCTCCATGAAAATTCTCACGCATGTTAGATTTAGAAGTTGAGTCTGATGGTTTTCTTTCTTTTTTGAGTGAAAAGGAGCAGACTCAATTTCAATATCTAAGTGCACCTTCGTTCGGGGGCTGGGAACGTCAAATGTCATGAACAATAAAGTCCCTTATAAAAATATGAGGCCGTTAAGAAGGGCAACAATTAAAGAGGATGAAAGAAATAACGACTTTAAAGGTGAAGAGCAAGATAGTACACCAATTAATAGCATGCAATTTATGACTGAAGATGTTGAAGGGAA